CCCCTACAAGTCTATGAACCTTTTGTTTCTAATTATGTCGCATTCATGATTGTGTGCCTGAATATAGCTTTGTTTCTGTTTGTAAACCTCCATCTATTTCTTGTATTAATCCCCCCCCAGCCTCCTCAGTCCCCTCCCCTCTCCTGCATTCCCTTTATTCTAAATCCACAAATGAAATACCACTTTAACATATAAAACAGTCCCCAAATGACTGTGCTTTGTTAAACCGTTAGGCTAACAGAAAACAGATATTATTGATCATCCCAAATTAAGCAAATGTCATACTATTTTCTTGATAACAATAACATAGTTACTGTTCAGCTGTTCATTCCTGATGACTCCCGAGAAGTCCCTTCTGGTTAGCTTTAGATTACTCCTCAGGTATCTGATTTCCCTTATTCATCTTCACTTCTGCCATTGCCATTATGGTATCTAAAGTCTTTTGTCTTTTCTTTTCATTTCTTCTTTTTCCTGGGTTTCACCATTTCCCAAGAGTTTTTCAGTAACTTATCTCTAGTTACTACCTCTGGAGAGATTTCTTGTATGTCTGAGATTTTGATTACTATCATAAGCAACTGGGTTGTATTTTTTCCTTGTTTAAAGTTTCTTACTGTATAATGCTGATTTTGGAAGCTGAATGAGAATTTAAATCGGAATCCCCATTTCTAGCAGCTATCTGCCCTCCTCAGCATTGCTGTAATTTCCTCTAGCTCTCTTCAATTTTTTAAGATTAGGGCAGAGAGATGATGGAAAATGTGCAGCTTACAGCCTTTGAGTATGAACTTTGAATGCTCTCTGGCTTTTTTCATAATTAAATTTTTCTGTTGCTAATTTCACAATTAGGTCTCTGAGTTTTTTATTATTATTATGAAGCCCAGGCAGGGGGAGCAGTGCCCTGTGCGCTCTCTCCACTTTTACCTCTCCCAGAGAGCTTAGATGTAACAACTCTACAATTAAAGTTTTTACATATCAGATTGGGTTTCCTCCTTCAGCGTTTTCAGGCAGACCCTTAATTCTGATGTTGTTCCTTCTTGATCTGTTTTCCATATTGTCCAATTTAAGCTGCGTCTCTCCCTCTCTGCTCCCTCAGTGCCATGTGGTTCTGTAGCTCTGTTTCTCTCTAACTTGCTTTTCTTAGGCCTGGTCTACACCGGGGGGGGGGGGGGGGGAGGAATTGATCTAAGTTACGCAACTTCATCTATCTGAATAACGTAGCTGAAGTCAACGTGCTTAGACCTACTCACCGCTGTGTCTTCACTGCGGTGTCTTCACTGCGGTGAGTTGACTGCTGCCGCTCCCTCGTTGACTCTGCCTGCGCCTCTCATGGTGATGGAGTACAGGTGTCGACAGGAGAGCGCTCGGGGGTCGATTTGTTGCATCTAGACTAGACGCGATAAATCGACCCCTGCTGGATCGATCACTGCCTACCGATTCAGCAGGTAGTATAGACATACCCTTAGGCCAGTGACTCGCTCTTCCAAGTCAGCAACTTCCTTCTTTATTGCAAGAAGCTTGATCGTCAGAACATCTCTCATGCCTTAAACTCAGAGATCATCTCCAGAATGCCTGCTTTGGTTGCCATTTGATTTTCTTCAGCTCTGGCATTTCTGTCTAATTTGGCTGCCATGAGTTCACTCGGAGTCTGAGAGATTTCTCCATGCTGTGAGCCAGAAAGTCTTCTTAGTGAGTTATCTTTTTAAATTTTCAGAATTCCTTGGAGAATCCATCCTCTGCAACTGTATGGTCTGTTTTTGTAGGGAGTTTAGTAGGTTTGGGAGTGTGGGGGCTGATGGAGGCAAATTGCTTTGCTATCCCCTCAAAGCTCAGGCTTCAGACAGCCATGTTATTTTGGCTCCCTGATGGTCTCCTCTCTAGATCTATTTTTACCATGCAGTCTATGAGAAATTTTCAAATTATAACCACTAGGTAGATGACCAGTAAGGATTTATTTTATAGTTTATAAAATAAATTAATCGACTGAAAATCATCTGGCTGTGCACATATCTGATTAATATTATTGTTTTCCTCCTCCTTTCTCCTATATATTTGTTACAGAGTATCCCATCTCAAACAATAATCAGCATCAGATGCGACAGAGGAAGGTGAAGTAACCCCACAGTAAGGATAATCTGCCCCCCATGAAGGTCTCATCCTAATCCCTAAATCAGAAAATGTTTTAAACCCCAAAGCAGGAGGTTTTATATCCCTTCCAAAATTTCTTGGCATTAACAATTATAACTCTGGGTATTCTTATTACCCATATAAATGTCCAATCCCTCTCTGAATCTTGGTAGAGTCTTGGTCTCAATGACATTATGCAGCTATGAGTTCTCCAGTCTAATTCTGTGTTATAATAAAAGGATATGCCACCTTTCAGTTTCATCTTCTTGTGTTAGCAGACAGGGAGAACAATAGCTCCAGATCTACCTTCTCTAAACCATTCAGTATTTTATATACTTTAATCATGTCCTCTCTTATTCATCTCCATTCTTTTCAATCTCTTAATATGAGTGGCCCACCCCCCTAACCATTCACATGTTGCATCTTGTCTCAGTTAGATTGCCACTTTTATGAAGTAAGCAAGTTTTATTCTGTGTACAGTGTCCAGCATAATGGTGTCCTGATTTGATGGGGCCAGTTAGCTACTACTATAGTACAAATAAATAAGATTACTAGAGATCTTCTTATTTTGTGATCTTCTAATGACTCCTGATACTTAAATTAAGGAATCACTTCAATGAAATTACAGCAACATAATATATTTTCTATTTACCACATACATACAGCTCCACAAAATGCTTTGTTATTTAATATTATGTAGGACAACTCAAATTGGACAGTGTTCTTATTGCAATTAAAAGTTCAGAAATGCTACATTTTATTATCTGATACTGCAAACATTTAAAAATATTAGGAATACAAAGTTACATCAGCAGTTAACTTAAGAAAAAACATTATAAAATATTTTTAAAAGATTTCAATCCCTTTCTCACTTTACTCATCACACAAATATTGAATACATTTACTTTTATGAGCAAAGTGATCATAACCCTTAGTCATGTTATGGAGCTCACATGATTCAAAGCAAATACATAATTTGAGGAGCATAAACAAACAAATCACCTTAAAACCTGATCTAACAATCCTTGCACACCCAAAACTCTCACTGACATCAGAGGGAGGTTTGGATGTACCAGGAATGCAGAACAGGAGATGTGCAAGTGAAGTACATATAGGACCCAATCCTACATCCATTTCTCAGAGTCGGGGCCCAGTACTAAAGTCCTTTCTCAAGTAAAGCTTTCATTTAGTGCAATCAGTGTGGTGTCTGAGTGAAAGCTGCAGGATCAAGTTCATAACATCATATCCACCTCAAAAAATTATGAGGCATCATGGTAAGGAGTAATCCAAAGACAGAAAAAAAACAAACGTGAGACATTTTAGTTAGTTATATTTTATCATCACTTTAGCGAGGACCATGTTATTCATTCACAGAGAAAAATATCTGGGTAGGGAGAAAAGAACCATTGAAATTATTTCAACTTTACATTTGTTTAGATTGCTTACTGCAAGAAATTATGTCATGTTTAAATTACTGATTATTACACTTTATTTTCTTTAAACTAAGAAAATTGTTCATTAAAGTGACATTCTTCAAAAGAAACACTGTAAAATAGTTTAGTTTCTAAAAAAGCCAGCTAAAACAATTCACATTACTATGAAAGGATGTTTTTCTATTTCTAAATAATAAATCATTTCCCTGGAACCGAACAATGTAATTTTGTTCATTAAAGATGCCAACTTTTTCAAATTTGGGTGGCTAAAATGAGGCACCTAAACTTGTAAGTGGGTTAATTATTTCAGAGCTCCTGCTGAAGTCTATAGGAGTTCAGAGTGTTCAGCACTTTTGAAAGACAGACCACTTATTTAAGTGACTGACGTTAAGAACACCAATCTGAAAATTTTGGCTGCAGATTTAATAGCAAAAACTTTATTTTAAAACTAAAACCATTCTGTTTCAATAGGGATTTCTACAACACATAATACAATAAAACTAATTATCAGCATTATAAAAATATTTAACTTCTATATTTTGTTGCTTATGTAGGGCTGTAGATAAAATGCAGAAGTAGACAAATAATCTGACTTTAAGGTACATAATTCATCACTAGACGTGTTTTAAATGTTTTAGTAGATAAGAAAATCTGAAAAAAGAGTAGTAATATTATGATTACTTGGTAAATCTGTTTTTTCCAGATATTAGTAATTTCTACCCGCATTTGATGGCTATGTCAGATTTTAATCTGCCAAATATATAAAGTCATAGACAAAAAACAAACAACAACACTGCTCCTCAGGTAACAGTTTGTAAAGTAGAAAATTACATAGGCTATTGCATTAGCAATAAATGCCAGCACTGTGATATTGCAATAATCATTTGTATCCTCAAGTGAAACTTATAATTTAGGCATTGCAAGTTAACTTTTATCAGTTGAAAATCATTTCTCCATATACCACTAAAATGGAATTATATGACACCAATGTCTACAATAAAGGTATAACAAAAATTAAGATTACCATATAACAAGGCACAATGCCTCTTGCAAGGATCATTCCTAATAGGTAGTGATATACTGCCATTTATAACTAACCAGGAGTGAAATCCTGATCCCACTGAAGTCAGTGAGAATTTTCCATTGACTTCAATAGAGCCAGGATTTCACATTAGAACCATAGAAAAATTTACTCAGTCTGGCACTTGTTATAGGAATATTATTCATTCTTTCAACTCCTGCAGTAAAACAAACTTTATACTTAAATTATCAAGATAAATCCTTAAGCATCCACCCAATTCACTGGAAACATGGTTTTCTACGTTCTTAAAAATACAGCAAATATATAACAAACCATAAGGTTGGCAAAATCTGTTTTCTTTACATACTTTGCCACATGATGTAATTAAACCTACACTTTCAACACTTACAGTGTTCAGCATAAAATTTAGTAACAAAAACACCCTAATATAACTATTCCAAGTACAAATCTAAAATATGCCCTTTTTATTAACGGAAAATCATACAATTTCAAGAAAATATTGTGGAAACAGTTTTCTACTGCTTAGTTCAACTCTAAATAAACTGAATATTAACAATAATAGTAATTTATAAATTGGCAACTGTATAGCAAAATCAGATATAATACTATACCTTTGAGTTTAGAATAATCATGAATAAAAACAAACAAGGGGAGACAGACAACCAGATGAAGTGTGGACAAGTTTCTCTGACATCATCCTCCAAGTTAAACAGAGGGGACAGGAATCTGTTTAGCTGAAGTGCTGTCATAATCTCGCACCAAGTCATTAGTGGTATGATAATGCATGGCAATATAGGATTTGGCAAATCCAAAAGTAGACTTTACTGGCTGTAAGCTATTTGGGGTGCTCACTTCCTGGGAAGGGCTGCTGTTATAGATGCTGTAATAAGGTTCAATGCGGGTATTCATGGGGGTTGAGCTGCTCTGTGCATAGTGCTGATGTCCAACAGAAGCCTTGGGACTCAACACACTTTCCTTAGAATGACTAGGACCACAAGCTTGATCCACAAACTTTTTCTGAGGTTTTGGAGACAACATGTATGCCGAATTGGTTTCATGATGGGATGACTTGTTTCTGTTGACTTCCAAGCTCCCTTTGCCCATGGCTCGAAGCCTTGTCTTCTGCTTGCAGCAGAAAAAACCAAAGGCTAAATATTGGAGACACCAAAGGACTCTCCTCCTAAGTCCAGCACTGTTCCGGGAATATATAAAAGGATTTAATCCAGATTTGAAAAAAATGAGGGTAAATCCACACAACTCGAACTGGTAGAGGATGAAACCACCATTACTGGACAGCACATCCTGCACCAAGAAGATCCCCAAGGGGAGACAGCAAACTAAAACAGAGAGGACAATGACCACACAGGTCACCACTGCTTTGGAGTCTTTAGCTGTGGACAAATTGACTGCAGACACCAGTTGGAGTCTGGTGGCTGCTGGAGCTGGCAGCTGGCTGAGATTCTTACTGTAGCCATGGGTCTGAACATGCTGCAACTTGTTGTAGTTCTGGTTCATGTACAAAGCAGGCACAGCACACTGCACCCCATCCACCCCTCCTGAAGCAGGAGGTCCAATGAAAGGCTGGGGTCTGGAGGCATCTACTGTGATGATGGGGGGACATTTCCTCACTTGGGCATTTCTCCTCAATGCCTGGGCTATCATGATATAGGAGACTGAGACCACAGCTACACAGCAAATGAAATCACTGACATACAAGTAGAGGATGATCTTCCCTTCGCCACTGATCAGGCTGGACATGGGGAGGCAGAGGCGGGATTTACGGGTTCTCAGGGTGGCCAAGGTAGCCAGGGTGAAGCTGGTGGCCCACAAGAGCAAGGTGAGCAGTAGAGTGCAAGGGAAGGAGGCAGTTCGGTTGGGCTGCTTCCCCAGCACCATCCGCAGCCGGTGCAGGGCAATCACAGCCACTGTCTTGAGAGACATGATGATGAAGCCAGAGCTGGTGAGGTGGAAAGTGAAGCAGAAAGCATCAGGAACACCATTCATAGAGTTGAAAAACAGGACAAAAGCAAACATGGGGGCAGTTACCCCACAAATGAAGAGGTCGCAGAAGGACAAGTTGAGGATCATAAAGTCAAAGTTAGTCCTGAATTTCCTGAAGGCTGGGTCAAAGAAGGACAAGAAGACAATGAGGTTGCCATAGGACCCCAGGCAGAAGATGATGGCCAGCAGAAAGGTGCAGGTGACCAGCGTGGCTGTGTGGATGATCTCCTGGAGATCCCCCTGGAAAGAGGAAGAGGTGGAATTCCCACTGAGAGAGTGCAGCAGTTGTAGCGAGGTGTTGAAAGGATCCAGGCGCTTTTGGTCAGCCCAGTCCTGCAGCCTGTCTGTCAGGTTCATCTTCACAAAAATAAACACACTGCCGCCCCCAAAAGGGGAGTCCAGTGCCTCAACTCAGAGGTTTGGGGCAAGGTGAGTCCATGGTGGATGAAGCCTGTACAGCCAAAGAAAAAGAAGTCAGAGCACAGAGATTAGCCCACAAAAGAGTATGAGTCACTGAATCACAGATGTTAGGAATGAGAGGGACCTAACAGGACACACACCTCATCCCCTAGGAGCTGAGGCAGGGCTTTCTCTAAAGTACAGGAGCCCTCCCAGTCAATAAGGCATTTACAGAGATGGGCCCAGGGCCAGAGACAGACCCCAGTCCCTGCACGCAGGGCAGACCTTCCCCGCCCAGTAAAAGAAGGCAAAGGCCCCAGTCAGAGCCGGCCCCTCCCCCCACCCCACAGGCTCCCCGGTGAACAGGGCCATGCCCACCCCACAGCACCACAAACACAGCCCCGCAGCCTCCCCCCGCTCCCGCAGCGCGGGTACAGACCCGGAGCCACTGGGGCAGGGGCAGCGCTGCCCTGCTTGCCCTCCCCCCCGGGAAAGGGAGTCGCTAAGCCTAGGGGGGCGCCGGGTCCGGGGGAAGGGGCGGCGCGGCCGGCTCCTGGCGGGTGGCCCCGGACTCCCCAGCCGGGGCCAGGCAGGAGCAGCCGGTAGGATGCACGCAGGGCCCCTGGCGCGCCCGGCACCGCAGCCTCCCTGCCGGCCCCGGCGCTCCCTCCTCCGCAGGTGCCGCGCACCGCTGTGTGCGCCCCCCCCCCCCGCCCAGTTGTTTTCTCCTCCCCGATGTGAGCCCCCCCCCGCCAGCGGAGCCCGTCTGCGGCCCCCCGGGCGCCGCCATCCGAGCAGCCAGGCGCGGGGACTCGGGGCCGGTTAGCGCCCGCCCCCGCGGAGCCCTCTTACCTCGCTGCTTGCGGCGGCTCTGCCCCGGCTGCTGCGGCGGCGCCGGCCTGGCCCCGGGCGGTCCGGCTCTCTGGCGAGCGCGGGGCGGGAGTCTTCCCCGGCTGGGCTGGGGGACAGGCGGCTGCTGAAGTCATCGCCGACGTGCGGGAGCGGATCAATCCCCTCACTGCCACCTGCAGCCAGAGCTCGGCCGCGCGCTGCACCCCAGGGCACGCACACACTGCATCCCCACCGCACACTTCAGTGCACAACTACACCACAACCACATACTGCACCCACACTGCACCACAACCACACACTGCATGCACACTGCAATGCACACTGCAATGCACACACTGCATCCACACTGCACCACAACCCCACACTTCACCCCAACACACACTGCAATGCACACACTGTAGTACCCCCACCACACACTGCAATACACACTGCACCACAACCACACTCCGCACTGCCACTGCACCCCACTACACACTGCACCACATTGCACCACACATTGTAACACACCCGCACAGTGCAACACCACCATACATTGCGATGCACACTGTACCACAACTATACACTGCACCCCCACGGCATGCGCACACATGCTGCAACACACATACTGCACCATCACCATATATTGCATCACACACTGCACACTACCACATGCATAGTGCACCATCACTATATGCTGCACCACCATTGCACACACACTGCAACACAACTGTGTGTGCATACATGCATGCATACTGCACCCCACAACTGTACCTGCACATATGCATACTGCACCACAACAGTGCACACATTGCAACACAACCACACATTGCAACACCACAGCACACACTGGTACACCCAGTGTGTGTCAACCACACACAGATCTACAAATGCAGCAACCCAGCCTCACAGAGCCACACAAACGTACACTGCCATATACAGAAAGACAACCACGCACAGCCCCATCACCCCACAACACAGCCCTGCAACCCAGTAATACAAGAGAGAGGCACTGTCACAAGACTCTGTAACATAACCATACAACACACAATTACACACAAACATGAGAGAGGCAGCATCATCACACAAAACTACCACACACAGCAGCATAACATACAAATAGTAACACAGAAGAAGCACTGCTACCACACACACAACCACACAACAAAATACATCTCCAGACCACACAGTGTGTGACAGCAACACACACATACTGCTGGTGATATGGCAATGCATAAAATGCTACAGCAACAAAGTCTTAGAGCAGGCCTGCACAACTCGTAAAGCGGCGAGGGCCATATTACTCCAAAGAAAACAGCTGAGGGCCAAAACCCCCCAAGCGCTGCCAAACGCCCCCCCCCC